TTTGACTAGCCATGAAATTCAGAACGCGCGTTTCACACTATTTGGGACTAATCAACTGCATCTCAGTGTTGGTTTTTACATTGAAGCTTAAAAACAGTACGTTGCACTTCAAACACCAAATGTGTTATCCACAGAACCGCTCAATTCATATGGTCATTAAGTGGTTTAACGAGTAGTAGAACATAATAAAGTGTTGGTGGGATCACATAACTACTGTTCATAATTGAAATCGATCATTCCCTTATGCCTTATGCACACCCATATTGAGTTGTCTCAATATTCCTAATTAAACACAAGTTTTAGTAAGGTCTTATCGAGTCTAGCAATGGAATCCAGCAAGGTCGTTTCAGCTTATTTATTTAAATACTACGGTGAATAATAGTTGGTCGTAAATTGTCGAAAATTGGCCACAAGATATCTGGAACATTTGTTAACACTTCTTCTGATCAGGAATAAACAGACAAGTGATGTAGTTTTTGTACTGATCTACATAATGAATGCTATTTAGAACTATATTTTAATAGAAATTAGAAATGGGGCAATGGGATTATTTGATTGGATTAGAAGTTCCAAACATTTCGATATGACAAATGAGAGTAATTTTACATCAATTGATCACGGTGTTGTTGTCATATTTTCTATTTCTAAACGCCAGTAGAACCTTATTGGTTAAATAGCAGCGAAGTCATTAGGCCGGGTGGCACAACATCCCAAAACACTTTCGAGACTATTGGACAATTAGTAGGGAACTGCGAACAAGAATTACATGCTAGCTAATATGGTTTATTAGTGAGACCAGCTGTCACATAGGGTTCCAATCACGACTGAATGATAACGTTCTTATAACGATACTCGATTCGAATGTCACTTTAATTATTAGTTCCTTCGAGATTGTAGTAACAAGTACTAACTAGTCAGTTAGACACAACGTAGAACTTCGTACGTACGTACATCATTTCCAGTAGCCATACCACATTAGCACAGAGATAAAGTTGTCCATTCAAATCCTATGGTGGTAGAAGTAGTAAGAGTATAATCAGTAATCCGAAAGATTAGGGTTTGAAGATGTTATTGAAGAAGTATAATCCAGTGAAATAAATTTGAAAAGAGTCATGAAGAAGACTAGAATTTAGTAGAACATAAAGAGTGGATGCACCTTCGCCATTGCAAACTAGTGTAAATACTAAATCCATAACTCTCTGCTCATTAATTCCAGATATAAGTAGGCGATACCAATTTTTTTTCGTGAAGACTGTCATAATAAGTGAACTACTTTGAAGTTATTATAGTATTATTTTCCTCAATATATTTTATTTAGACCAATTTTGTTATAATTACCACTAGTACTTATTTTATTGATGATAATCTATGTCAAGAAATACTTGTTCCATCATAGTATCAGATGCAATTAACAAAAGACTAAATCACATTAATACCAACCTAATCTTCAAGTTAACATTATGTAAATAACTTCCACCAGGTGATGAAGCTAACTTAGAAAGGAACGTTAGTCTCATTTTAAAACACTAGCATTCAGGTGTATGGTATTTGTTCCTGATCTTTCATTTCAGGCCCCTGAATGCCCTGGTACGGCTGAGAGTGGGGAGAGTCCGCTCTCCCTCTCAAAATGCTCTCACATGGCCACGCGTATATAGCCTCTGACAGGGAAGTCCTACTCACTGTCTCCTCGTGGTGGGGGTGTTGTTTACGAAAACGAGAGGACAGAAAGCGAATGTCCGGCACTTTAACCGGAACAGTGGACACGGAAAGTTCACCTAGGGAAGTTGGAAAACCCTGATTCCAAATCAATGGTGCACATGGGCTCCAGTATCCTGGGGGAACGAATGGAGTATGAACCAATTGTTAGTCACCGGCTACCATGGGACTGTATCTCCTTACGATGCTCCACTGCCTTGTGGATCAGATCTTTAGGCCAAAGGCTGGGGTGTTGCCCCGTAAGAAAACCACCTGCTTCGGTTCTGGCACCCGGGCAGTATCACAGTCCTCACACAAATCAAATGAGATTTGTGTGGCGCATATATATCTGGTGCCCCTTCGTACCAATATTTATGCATTTAAATAAATAAAATATTTATTAACTATGAAACGATGCTACAAAGGGAAGTAACTGATAATGGATATTACGGATAAATTTTGTTAACCAATTTTTACTAAAAAGAGGAAAATATATTGGAAGAACCGATAGAAGACGAAATAACCCGATATTATACATTTTCTTCAGTTCCAAATAAGATAAGGAAGAGATTTGTCCTTATCACTAAATCTGATATCAGTACGTCATTAAACATGAATCATCTTACTTTTTCACAGATCAAAAGCATAAATTAAAAATAACTGTCTTCAACTAGTTAATTTTTGTCAGTAAGAGGCTGAAGAATATCACTGAAATGGTGAATCAATATAAGTTAGACCACTATTGAAAAAATGGAAGTACCGAATGGCCGTTTCGTCCCAGTATGGGACTCCTCAGTAGTTCATCCACGACTCCGCACACGGAAATCGAACTAGAGAACTATGGTTCTGCTTGCGAACAATTAACCTCCGGACCGCTAACCCGCCATCAAGAGGTTTTAACGTCTGATTTCAACTAATTCATGACGTTGCACAACCATCTTCTACTGCCTTCGATGAGTAACTGAATCACGCTATCAAACCATTTGACACCCCTCAGCTGATATAAATTTGTTTTTCAAAGTATATCCTACTTAATACAAGTTTGCACACTATTCAGTTGCGAGAACCAAATTGAATTGAGCAAGATTTAGAAATAAATCAGCAGTTCAATCTCCAGAAATCATACTTTCCAGTGATGTACAATAAAATATTTTCTAAGACACGGCAAGAGCCCTCATTGTATTTTCTACATTTTAGAAGAATCTACTAAATTTGAACTTGTATTTACATTATAGAAAATCATACATGTGTCTACAGGATATCACACGCAACATTGCACTGTGAACAATATTTTTCGATCTTACATCAATGCATTAAAATACAGCTAACTCGATTGGTAATAAAGTCCATATAACTAGTAAATAAAGTGGAAAAATGATTAGGGCGTTATGTATCCCACACAGGTGACTGACGTTTGAGCATACATAACTAAAATTATACGTCTTAATTCCCTATTATAGCGCTCGAAATTCTAATTCTTGTTAGTCTATTCGTTAACACTTGTAACTATACGTGAAAAATTATATAATCCCTCTAATAAATGACTGGAACCAAGTTTAGCATGGTTAGTTGGGTATGCCTATTCAATGTAATTATGTTCATTCCAATTATCATAATCATTTTTACACTGCTATTTAGTTTATTTTACAAAGAATCTAGCAGTATTTAAAGGTTATATGAAAGAAGTGTCTCACATCTTGACTCATATTTACAGTTGTTATATCCCCTGGTGAATTATGAATGGTAACTCTAAGGACTATTTATCGACCAATGTATTATGCCTATTTCCTATTGTACAATTGTTACGTAACTAAACTATTCATATTCGTGTTTCTCTAATCATTAGCTTTATTTTGATCTTTGATTTATTATCATACGATTGTTGAGTTATAATCAGTTTATTGATTACTTTGGTTTGTATAAAAACCCAGTGTGTTTGTAAATGATGATTCATATTGCCGAGGCTGCTATTTGTGTTCTGGACTTAACTGGCTGGGCTAGGCAGATAGGAAGGACCGAATAGCACCCAAGACTGCTCGTACGGTTTCATGTATCATTTGCGTCCGATCAATAAATTCACTCCTCTAATTGCACGTTCATATATATTACGATCCCATACGTTATAACAACAGTCTTATGACAAGTATTACAACGTGATTAGACGAAAGACACCACCTATTTTACTGGTGAGATAATATTAAATGAGAAGAAATATTTAATCGATAATTATGAGTGGTGCTGACTTCTCATAAGAAAGTCTCGCCTTGATAACAGTAACACTTAGTGTATGTGACAATTAACAAAAGTATGATACTCTTTCATAAATTATACTTTACTGTAAAAAGCTGCATTACAAATGAATATCGAGAATTCAGGTGTTTAATTCCAAAAGCAGTAGCGAGGAAATAATGTCTCTAATAAACTAAGATATTTATGTTTTGTTTTCTAACTTTAGAAACCTAATATAAAATATTTTTCTTCTGTTGGTGAACTTAATTATTGGATTCCTAATGGAGACTTATGATAGCCAGTTCGACGCCTTTTGTTTAACTTAAGTGGACCTAAAAATTCGAACTGATAATGAAACTTTTTAAAAGAAAAACGAACCTAATGAATATACCTATATCAGTAATTTGAGTCTTGTGATCCAACTATTCGTTAATATAAAAACTGGAAAATGAACATAACCTCGAATGACAAAGTAAGGATAGCGTAAGATTAGTTAATTTTGTAAGACATTTTATATGGTTGACCGTACCATGTAACCTTGTACTTGGAAATCTTATGATCAGTAATATTTAAACAAAAAATGTGGTACTAAGTTTTTAAAAATCAACTGATCCACTCCATTTTAATTGTGAATGCTTATGACACTACCCTTTTGCCCAAACAGAAGAGATTGGAATGAGGCTTGAACCTTAAACTTAATGGCTGAAAGTCGAATGCTTTCAACACTAAGAGGATACTTTAAATATAGAAATTTAATGAACGATTACATATAGGCAATTAGATTTCTTATGTTCACTTTCAACGTACCCACATGACTTTTAGTTTAAATAAAGCTACTTAAACTATATACTCAAAAGTATTAATAAAAATATAAGTTTACAGCAAGGAATCATGTAAAAAAAAGTCTGGACAAAAGTGTGGCGACGACTGGAAGGGAATCAACGCAATAAATAATATCTTTGAGAGTATACTTAAAGTTGTTTTTCGGTACTGCATACCCTAGGAACTCCACACTTTTAGAATACCTTATAAAAATAAAGACCCTGGAAGAAATCAAAAAAGGATTTGAGACAATAATTCCGTTGTAATAATAAACATTTATAGTCAGTAAAATTAATATTGTATATATATGTACATGGTGTCATTTATATGGGAAATGTATTGAAATTAATGAAGTAAATGTTTCACAAGAAAAAAATACGTTCGTGCACAAATAGTCTGGTAAATTAACTTTTTGATGTGTAGTTTACGCAGTCTTGTTAGACTTTAGAGGAGGCCATGTTGCTTCCATTAGATATATTTAAATTCCCCAATGCCTCGATCGTCTCTGAAACTTGGAGATTGTTGGAAGGTAAAATATTGGTAACATCTAATTTCTCACTTGACAACTGTGGACTGTGGCATCCAGAGTCTGGGATGTCCCCTTTCTGTTTCGAAGCAGGTTTTTCTAAAGTATTACTGCTACTGAGACTTCCATATTTAGTCCACTTTCCTTTACTTTGACGAAATGAAACCTGTAATCGCCTACCAGATAAAAGTGATCCGTTCATTATATCTATCGAGTTTTGAGCACTCTGAAAATTACTATACGTAACGAAACCGAAGTTTCTAGAGGAATTTGTTTTGTAATCTTTCGGTATAGAAACATTTAAAATTGGTCCAAACTGTGAGAACAGAACAAATATTTGTGCTTCAGTCATGTTTCCAATATTATATATGTATACAGATGTAGATTCATTTTTGTCAATTTTAGTGGATTTGGGTCGGCCGAAATGAGAAAAGTCGTTTGATTGCTTACAAGTTGCATCAGATATTTTAGTAGGTAAATTGGATTGTTGCTGACTTAGGGTAGGATAAAAGGTATTTTGAACATTGGTAATTATAGGACAACCTTGGACTGAATTTCCATAACTTTCCAACTGATTTGTACATAAAGTATTCAAAGGGATTTGGTTAAGATAGTTCTGTTGAAGAGGTAGCCAAAGATTTGGATAAGGTTGTTGTGAATAGAAGTAAGGGGCCAAGTAACCAGAAGTTACATTTAAAGCAGAAGCAGGGTTCTGATACTCAGTATTGGGGTAATCATTACTCCATAACAGACCCTGTGGATTTAGTTGTGGTTGTATAACAGGAGATTGCAATAGTGACCCTTGGACAGAGTGGGCCAATGCTGTACATAAATTGTTAGGAATGTAAGGTAATTGTGGACAGGAAGGTGTATAAACTTCAGGAACTGAAGGCTTTGACTGAGATGATAAGTGAGCAGATAACTGACCGTTTCGCAGATTTTGTTGATGCAAAAATGGTCTTCTGAAGTTGTTTCTGGATTTTGTCAAACTAACCGATTGTCGATAAGGTGGAGTGGCAAACTTTATAGACAGCATCTGATTGTCTGTAGATCCGGGCCAAGCACGTGCATCTAGAGAACGCTTAGCTGCTTCGGCATCAGCAGGATTCTCGAACAGTACGTAGGCACTCCCTTTAGAAACATTCGTATCGTGATCACGCAATATACGACACTGAACAACAGGACCAAACTGTCCAAATTCTGCCGTCAAATCGTGCTCGGTGAGTGTAGGTGGGAAATTTTTAACGTATAAATTTGAGCTTTGGCAAAGTCGTCCTTGCAGCTTAGCTAGTGAAACTTTCAGAATCTTATCGGCGATTCGGTAACCATTAAAGCGTGTGATAGCCTTATGAGCAGAGTCAGAATCTTCATACTCACAAAACCCAAAGCCAAAGCTGGACCCGCTATTTCGGTCTCGAATTATCCGGCAGGTTTTAATGGCACCGACAGATGAAAATAAGTTGGTCAAATCAGCATCTGTAATCGATGTTGGAATGTAGTTGATGATTAGGTTTCGATCATGATATACAACCATTTTTGGAGCTGAAATATAGAAAATTATTCTTCAGTTTTAAACGGATAACACAACTAAAAGGTGAAAATGAGATACTGTATTGAAACCGACACTTTGAAAGGTTTAGGTTTTGTGTACTGTTTTTTGTAACTTAAAATGATCTTACAACAAACAATTTTAAGCACACAGAGGGTCGCTATGTTATTACAGATAGTCTGTGAAACATTTGGTTACAACATGACAAGGATGAAAGTTGATAGCGTGTGGGTGGCTGATAATTAAATCATTCACACCACAATTCGTTATTTCCTTCAGACAACCAGGAAAACGGGCTAGATGACTGTTTTTAGGCTTTAAGGAACAATTATTCAAAAGCGAAAATTTTCGCAGCGTTGGCTTCGGGTTGCAAACGTTACTGACATCGGTTATCCATGAAGTGTAAGAAACTCTCTTACTCATTTTTTGACTCCTGTTTACTATGAGAACAGTTTTCGTGGAGATGCTCACTGTTTTTCACTACATATAGCTGCAATGAGTAGCACACAATCACCTCTAGACTTGAAGTTAGCTGTTTCCAATTTAACAGCATTTTAGCCAACTTACCTACGCTGGATTTCGAAAAGCAGAAGTTTTAGCTTACATAAACCTTACAGTAGACGCTAATTTGTTTTAGATGTTTCCGTTTCTGTAGTGTTAACAGAAGAAAAATGTCTACCCATTTGTCAAAATCGTCCCGAAGTAAATGACATATTTGTTTATAACGGAAGTCTGAGTTTCAAATGAATGATGCTACTCTCCTGAAGATAATTTTAGTCGGTTACAACTGTCTTATTATGCAAGCTGTGCTACTTAATACATTAAGTTCAAAGGTCAGAAACCTGCACTCTAAATAGATGCTTTCTTGAGCTTGTTGTACAAACTGGGCGCATCAAAGTAGATCGCAAATCATTCAGTTAGAATACCAACGCTCACTCAAGAATCCCATTCAAAGACTGGTTACTATCCTTGAAATCACTTAGAGTAGTGAATTAGTGGTCAGGTCGTCAGGATTCTAATTACTGAGATCCAAGCTTTAAATCCATTTTACATAAATGGTTTCGTAAGCCAGGTACCAAAGCTAGTATTTATACAACGTGAGGTGTAAAATTAAATATACAAATTCTGAGTTTCATTTTCAAATAAAACATACAATCTTTGATATAGTTTTTGCACACAAGGTAATCTGGTAGTCTCGGTTTGAAATTGTTTTAACATTGGCAAAGTGCAGTGCGAACATATGTATTCGGATACGTGACAACACCAGTAGTTTTGCTACTTTTGAGATGTGTTAACTGTTAAGATCTTGAACACACTACCTATATCAGTTTTGGCGTAATACACCCGCTGCAGTCCTAAAGATCATCCAGACAATGGGATTTCAAACGTGTACTATAGCTCAACTAGAATATACATTACATTGATTACTTGCTTGATCTACCTCGTAGTATGATTTTCTAACCTCCCCCAACGATCACATTTTTTTAAAATTGTCGTTATGGTTCGACTAGCTGTTCTAAATAATTGATAATAATTCAATTTGTTTTCACGTCACTATCACTTATTACGATCGTTAAGATGCCGACAACTTATGGTTTCAAGTTAGCAATTGACAAGGCAATCTGTTTGCATAAAAAATAATGTCTACATTCACTGAATTCTTAGGAATCATAGTTACCATCGCCTAGGAGGAAAATCACGACTTATATTTCATAATACTAGACCACTCAGGTTTGACAGAGTATGAAATCCCGTATATTTAATAAGCAGACAATATGAAATTAAGCCCGGTAAATTATTCAGAAATCTAATACAAAACTACCACAAATTTTAGTGGCATTTAAAAACATGAGCACATAAACTTTAACAGTACTGTGTGCATTTCTTGATTTCGACACATTTGAGTGGCACATGCTCTGAGCGGAAAGAATTATTTTATGGGAGATGAACACTTGTTATGCATACCAATGTACAGACCTCAAGAAAATACGTGGTGTCAAAACGTGGCTTAAGTCGTAATCCCGCCTTCAGGTAAGGTCATTATCCTGATATCCAATATATCAACCGCCTATTTGACAAGCTAGTTTAAACCGAATAATTTCCTTGCCCCCTTTACCTTATTCAGTACACTCAGAGCTACGGCAAGTACAACGCCTGGATATCTTCTCAGTTTACGGACCAGGAGCTAGCAGTATCTGGTATGTCTTTGTTTCGCAACGACAAAGAAACTGGAATGGGGGCTGGAGTAGCCTTATACATATTGTAGCTGTAAATAATTCCCCAAAATCAATAGCTCATTAAGTGTTCGACATTGGATGCTGACCACGTTGTTTAAGTGGACTTGTTTAGCTGAAGGCTTTCGGTCATGCATCCGCACCAGATCACGTTGCAACACGGCGTGGGACACAGCTCCTACGTTGCAATAGCCAGTTAATAACGAAGTCTCTCGATATATTGATAACGAATCAAATATATCTTTCCTGTCTCTCCTCGTCTGACTTCTGGTTTCTATTTGACTGGGAACGAATGATTATAGAAGATACTACTGGTTGCTAGTTGTAAAACTAGAATATCCGTGGTATCCTCAGTGATGAGACCGACGTGATCTGGTACACCAAGCCAATATACTGTGAGTCTGTTCCATTTTGGAATATTATTATTCATTGTTATTCTCTATTAGATTTTTATATATTGTGAAAAAAATTTTTTCGCGAATTTTTTTTACGGATATATTTTAATTAGACATTTTTCGTTATCTATATTACTATGACGGAACACTCACCCAAGGTTTATAAATTGAAGTCTATTCCCCTATTTCGATTCAGTTAAAGCCATTTTGGCCCGACAATATCGAGTCCTGGTTCTGCTACGCAGAAGCTGATTTTCGCATGCACGGAATCACGGACTCGCGCACACGTTTCCTCGCGGTAGTTAAGACGTTACCGCGCCAGTTTAACAGGTACGTAACACCTAGTATGTTTACTAGTGATGTTCCCGAACCTTACGAAACTCTCAAATGTTCGATTCTAAAACGTAGAGACCTAACCGACCGACAACGGTTAAACCAACTCTTCCATAACATCGACTTGCAACAGGGTTCTGCGACAGACATGTTGCTAAGAATGAGAGAGGTTATCGGCCAACGAACTTTCGATGAATGCCTATTCAGACAACTTCTCTTGTCTAAACTTCCTCATCAGGTCCAGGCAGTTATTGTTTCATTTCAAAACAACGCCATAGATGAGCTGGCTGCATCTGCCGACCGAATCTTAGAAATCACTAAATCTTCTAGGGCCGAGGTTTTTTCCGTCAAGGAAAAACCCCAATCGACCCCAACTGACATAGCCGAACTATGTTACACGCTTACACGATATCGTAGAGTTTGTAATGACCGTAGTCGGTCAAAAAACCCGCGTAGAATTGTCTCACGTAGGCGATCTGCCTCTCGACCACGAGAGACAGATAATCCCGACTGGTGCTGGTATCATAACTAGTACGGTAAGTATTCCAGAAATTGCAGGAAACCCTGCAATTATCCCACCTCAAAATCGAGTAACACGAAAAACAGTTCGGGAAACTTCCCAGCCGGCACGCGTTAACGGCAACCGTAGCCGACGAACACAGCCGCCTCTTATATGTCACGGATGTGACTACGAAAGTTCGCTACCTCGTCGACACCGGCGCAGAAGATAGCGTTCTTCCAGCGAATCCCGACGACAGACTTCACGAGTCTGTTTCAAGTTTACAGGCGGCAAACGGAAAGCCGATCGCTACTTACGGTAAAAGGTACGTCTACCTTAACGTGGGTTTACGCAAACCCATACACTGGATTTTCGTGGTTGCAGATGTCTCTATGCCAATCATTGGTATCGACCTGTTACAATACCACAATCTACTCATCGACACACGCTCACGAAGGTTAATAGACAGAAACACTAAGTTATCTGTTTGCGTAACTCCTTGTTCTGGTTGCAGGTTATCCCCAGTCACGATTAAACACACCATAGAGCCATTGTACCAATCAGTACTCGATAAATACCCCGGGATATACCAATCGCAATCGAAATTGCCTTGTGTAACCAGCAATGTTACACATCACATCTCGACTACAGGACCACCTGTATTCTCGAAAGCCCGTCGACTCGCTCCCGAAAAACTTCGGTTAGCCAAAAACGAATTTGACCATATGATAGACTTAGGTATAATTCGACCATCGCATAGTCCATAGTCATCCCCATTGCACATGGTCCCTAAAAAGGACAGCAACGATTGGCGGCCAACTGGTGATTATCGGCGTCTGAATGCAAAAATCATTCCCGATCGTTACCCATTGCCTCGCATTCACGATTTGACAGCTACCTTGAAAGGTACAACTGTCTTTTCAAAAATCGACTTACTTAAGGCCTATAACCAAATACCGATGGCACCTGACGACGTTCCTAAAACCGCCATCATCACTCCCTTCGGTCTTTACGAATTCTTGCGAATGCCTTTTGGTTTAAGAAATGCCGCTCAAACCTTCCGAAGGTTTATAGACGACGTCTTCCGAGGTCTCGACTTCGTACATGCGTATGTTGATGACTGTCTAATAGCAAGTCCGGACAGAGAATCGCATCTCAAGCATCTGGACATTGTTTTCGATCGACTCCAAAGGCATGGCATTACTGTCAACATTCAGAAATGCCAAATCGGAACCAACTCCTTAGACTTCTTAGGACACACTATTGATGCTCAAGGCATCCGACCCCCTAGGAGCAAAGTGGCGGCCATTCTGGATTACCCAGAACCGACCACGATCAAGCACTTACGAACTTTTAACGGACTTGTAAGTTTCTATAGACGGTTCATACCCAAATGCGCATCCCTAATGAAACCGTTAACCGATCAGCTTCGTGGAAATGCGAAATCAATTAGTTTAGGCGACATAGCCCGTAAAGAATTCTCCACAATTAAGGAACACATCGCTAAAGCAACCCTGCTTGCTCATCAGGACACTCAAGCGTCCATTAGTATCGCCGTAGGCGCATCCGACTCAGCAATGGGAGCAGTCTTACAACAATGGGTTAACAACTCGTGGCAACCTTTAGGATTTTTCTCGAGACGGTTGCTAGACGCGGAATCTAGGTACAGCACGTTCGGTAGGGAACTCCTAGCTATGTATTGTGCTGTACGGCATTTCCAACATTCCATCGAAGGAAGAGAATTCACACTTTGTACCGATCACAAAACTCTTACCTTCTCCTTAAGTTCATCTTCAGACAAGTACTCACCGCGAGAGTCTCGACAACTCGACTACATTTCGCAGTTTACTTCAGATATATAACACATTTCTGGAGCTAACAGTGTAGTCTCAGACGCCTTGTCTCGAAATATTCCTTGAACAGTTTCCAAAGAATCGACCTTCTTAAACTCGCTCAGCTTCAAAAAGAAGACATTGATCTTCAGCATGGGTTATCCTCGACAACTCTAAAACTAAGTATTAAGCAGATGGGAACAGGTAAGGAAACCTTACTCTGTGACACATCTACAGGTAGGGATCGTCCAATAGTACCAAAACATTATCGACGCAACGTCTTCAATACGTTGCACAATCTTTCTCATCCAGGTGCTCGTGCAACAGTCAAACTTATGGCCGAACGCTTTTGTTGGCCTGGCATGGATAAAAACGTGAGGGAGCGGGCACGCTCCTGTGTAAGCTGTCAGAAATCTAAGGTCATAAAACACAACAAATGTCCCTTAGGCTCTTTCAAAACCCCTGACGCTCGTTTCGACCACGTCCATATAGCTTTGGTAGGACCCTTACCCGACTCAAACAGATACTCATATCTCTTAACATGCGTAGACCGTTTTACTCGATGGCCAGAAGCAGTACCGATTAAGGACATTACTTCTGAAACCGTGGCCCGCGCTTTAATCGAACGATGGGTGGCAAATTTCGGCTGCCCTTCCACGCCAGTTCGAATCTGAACTTTTCCGTTGTCTGACCACACTTTTAGGAATCACGCGCTTCCGAACGACCGCCTACCACCCACAAGCAAACGGGTTGGTAGAACGTTTTCATCGACAGTTAAAAGCTTCATTATCAGCTTTAAACGTTTCACTCGTCTTGCTAGGTATCCGCAATGCAGCGAAAGCTGACATTGGATACACGGCATCTGAACTCGTTTACGGAACGACGCTCCGACTCCCAAGAGAATTCGTAGATCCTTCAGCTTCTTTATTGAACATGGATCTAAACTCTTACACGAGTAGGCTTACAAACGCTATGCGTTCAGTTAACCTGCTCACGCTCGACCTCAATCAACTGATGTTTTTGTTCAACCTGACTTACGACATAGTACATACGTCTTCATTCGTCGAGACTCACATCGACGACCCCTCGAATCAGCATACGAAGGACCCTCCAAAGTTCTTCAACGCGAACCTAAGTACTATGCAGTCGATAAGAACGGTACGAACGATAGCATCAGTATCGATCGACACAAAGCAGCGTACTTAGAAAGAAAACCCTAGCTACGTCGATTTTCCTTCGGTACAATCGTACGACACGGCTCCTACACTCGTAGTACCCTACACGACAACCGACACACTACTTGATACTTCGTCAACATCGATAGATAAACCTAAATCAACGCGCTTTGGAAGAAGAGTAAGATTTCCAGAACATCTTAACGAATATTGCACGTAGAACACAGGTTTTATCTTGAATTACCCTTTCATTGTTTATTATAAAAAAATTTTAATATGCTCATTTTTTATTTATATAAAAAAACCAAAAAAAACAAAACATTATTATTTTTTGAGAGTATTTATATTTTTATATGTATATAAAAACAACCCAGTTTTTTTCCCGATCGCTTTTACGCTGTCTGTAAGTGTATTAGTTTATTCAATTTTTTTCCTGCTCATCTTGTGTCCTCACGCAAGTACGAGTGTATTTTCGACATGCACTCACACGTTTTATTTTTCCTCTTTTTCAGGACGGCTGGAAAGGAACGACGAAGTTTCGCAAGGAACCGAAATTTTCATTTAC